ACATGGGTATAATCTGCAATGTAAAGACATTAAAAACCACTTTTCTGAAGAACAAATTCGGTATTTGAAAAAGCCCCTCAAATCACTTGTGTTCTGTTCTATATGCAAGTCTTCCCTCACTGCTAACTTAGTAATTAAGAGTTGGAAAAAACAGAAGAGTGACAATAAAAAATTTCTCTTCTATGACCAAATGACTCATTTTGTCAATATTTATGAAGATGGATTTATTTTGAATGTAATTAAACAATAAAATGATGCTGTTAAGCACACTGATTTTTTATTTAATGAAACAAAAAAAAAAATTCAATAAAAAGCTAAGTAATGAACAGGCCCTCTTCTACATGAGGGCTTTATGCATTCTCAGAAGCACACCCACACTTCAACATACCATTTCCCAAACACTGTGTATTATTAAGAGGAGGCGGATTCTGCCAGGCACATAATTTGTATCTTTAAGGGAGGTGTATGGAATGAAAAAACGAAATATGTTAAATTTCAAAGGACTTGGAAGCAATGCTGCCTGTGCTCTTGTATCACAAATAGCCCTACATTATTACATACGCTATTAATGAGGCAGAGTGAATGAAAGCACAATTTGAATATGCATGACTCTATGCAATGAGCAGGACTTTTGTGTCCTGATGGCACCCCCCTCTCCTAAAAAGGATTAAAATGATTCTTTGAGTAGTGTGGCTGCCCAGAGAACAGTAAAAATAAATGTACATCCACCAGAGTCACACTATATTTAGATGAAATACACAGGTGCTAAAAGAGCGTCTTTGACTCGACCTACAATTTCTAAAACTTGTGTGCATGCTATCTGTTCCCCACCCCCTCTGCGAAATATTCCTTGACTCCAAGCAGCTGCTTCATTACAATTTCTAAGCAAAAATAATGATTTTGGTGTAGATCCCTAAAAGTAGGCAAGGTTAAATAAATCTTTTCAGTACAAAGCCTTCACTTCTATAGTAAGGAGCACTAGTTAAAAGACTGGGGAATGGGTAAATTATTGCACCAAATGGCTGAGAATTAATCTCTGCTGACTAGCTGTAATCTAACGAGGCGTCTGTGTCCCAGGGAGCCCGCAGCATGTCCCTGGCGGTATGTGCAGTGTGTCGAGTCTGCGTGGCACCCTTTGTCCTCACTCACAGGCGGCCTTGCCTCTCATTGTCTACAATATCCTCATGCATCTGGGACGCGTGGAATGCATTCATACTAACAGACTTACCATTGTTTTCTCTCAGAAGCTTTGTTGAGCAAAGACTGCATTACGGTTACTGATAATTATATTGCTTAATTAATCAAGACAAAAAAAATTTGCAAATCATTGCCTGGTTGCCAAGCAGGAAGATAAAAAATGACAACAACACAAGCTGAAGCAATATAACAAAAGTAACAGCTATCTGATCAGAAATTCTTATATAATGAAGCTATTAATGCTAAATCGGTTAATGTTAACATTGCTCCAGGTGTCTCTACTTAGATGCAAACAAAAAGGCTAACATTATGGATATAAAAGGCCAAATGTTGCCATGGATTCTGTAACCTGATAGAGAGGACAGCCTTTTCATTTGATTAGGGAATGCAATTTAAATACCAGGGACTGAAGCCAAACAAACAGACTTTCCCTCCACAAGCCTCTTGCATTCACTCTGGGGTCAGTGGTTAGTGAACAAAAGGTCACCCACACTTGCCCTGGAAATGTCTGGATTAATTTTATTACGTTGTAATGGTTTGTGCTTTAAATGTAAGGATAACACTAAATTTCCAGTTGACCATTATGCTCTTCTTTCCTTTAGGCTTTTTTGAATAAACATATTAAGAGAGTGATTTTGCTTAATTCACCTTGTCAGAGTTTATGACCAAATTTATAAAGCACATATTTCATAAAGAAAAAATTTAAAGACAGGCTAATGATTATATTCATGCATTATAACTGTACTCCATTTTTTAGAAGTAACTTTTTATATACTACAAAGTGAATAAAAACAGCTTTTATATTTGTTATTCATTTCAAAAATAAAGGTTAAATGTTTAAAACATAGATGACATTTTACAGGTCATGCTGTTGTTGGTATGTGCTGTGAAGTTGGTTCTGACTTGGAGTGACTGCAGAGGATTTTCAAGGAGAGGCTGATGGATTTGAGCTGCTGATCATAAGGTTAACAGTCCAGAGCTCATGTTACAGTACCACTCCAGGATCCTTTACTATTAAGATACATTGTTGCTATTGTTAAGTGCTGTTAAGTTGCTTTTGACTTGTAATGACCCTGTATAGGGTTTCCAAGGAGCGGCTGGTAGGTTTGAACTGCCAAACTTGCAGTTAGTAGTCAAGTACTTATCCTACAAGACTCCAACAGGCATGTTAGTCTATGGTAAATATTAAAGCAACACATTTTCTAATTTTGATAGCTATAAGATAATAAATGTATTGGTTCTGTAATATTGTAATACTCAGTTTAATTCTTAAAATTAAACTAGTGCTCTTCATGGACAAATACACATGTTTCCTTACACAAAAGTGAAATCTTCATACATAGAGAGATCTGAATCAAAGATAATACAAATACTTTTGACATCTTTGCTCCATGAGCACAGAAGGAGGGTCCCTTTACTTTTGTAAACTGAGTGGAAAAGATAACTATCAATCTTGTAGAGCCACTCAGTCTATCAAGTTTTTCACCAGAGTAGATTTTTGGGGGTTCAGAAGTTGACCCACATTGTATCTAGTCTGAGTAGTAATAAGCATTTTAAACTTAGGTTTTATTAGCTATTTTACTTCAATGGCAGTAGCCATAATAAGAAATAATAATGGCTATAATAGTACTAATAACTAACACTTAAACAGCTTTACTCTGATTCGGGTACTGAAGCACTTCCTTATTTATTAGCTCATTTAAGCCTCACAACTTTCATTTAACACTTTAGACTAGGTTACAATCGAACTCTCAGTTATTGTTTTAAAGCTTAAAACTTGATTTTTTTTTTTTTTTCTTTAGAACAGTGACCTTCAGTTTCTTCTGGAAAATAATTTGGAATAAAAATGAAGCGTTATACTTAATATCAAGTTGAAAAATACCACCAAGAAGCCCTACTTGAGGAGTAGCATAATGTGCTAAATATTTAAATAAAAACGTTAAAAATCCCCCAAAACCTCTACTCATAACTCCAAAACAAAACTAAGTCACTATGTTAAGCACAAAGAAGACCTGGTGGTCAATGGCTGTTAACCGAAAGGTTGGCAATTAGCAACCAATAGTGCTCGGTGGTAGGACTGTTATTGTGGCGCTGTAGTACTAGACTACAAACCACAAGGTAAAAAGTTCAAACCCACCAGCTCTGCTCCTTGGAAACACTACACAGCATCGCTATGAGTCAGAACCAGTTCGATCACTTAGCCACAACAACAGTGCTCCACGGAAGTCTACTTTCGTACAGATTACAGCCTTGGGAAGCCTACGAAACAGTTCTACTTTGTTCTATAGGGTTACTAGATCCATTGGAAATTGGTTTAGATTAAGAACTGCTCAGCAAGAATCATTCCCACCCCTCCTACACACAGAGTGGACAGGGATGGGCAACTTGGACATTGGCTACCCAAAAAGGGGGGGTGGGGGGCTACAAAGGCAAGAAGTGACTGGCTTACAAGCTTTCAAGAGGGAACCTAGAACCAGAGGGCCTGGAGAAAGGTAGAATCTCCAGTGAGTAGTATTCAATCTGTCTAGGTGGTGCTGATGCAATGAAATCCAGATAGGTCTCTTGTGATACAATAGTGAATAATTGTTATCAGGACTGATTGTGAAAGTTGGAAATGTAAAGGTAGACGTTTTATAGCAAGGAGGGGAGTGATTAACTTTTCAGTCTAGGAGCGGAGGTCCCTAGGACCATCAAGGGAGAAGAGCAGAGAGCGGGACCCTACCCAGAGAAGCAGTGATGCCTGAAATGGAGGCAGAGATGATGACGTGGAGCGATGGAGCAGCTGGAGACTTTAGATCCAGAGAGGGAGAGCGACTGTGTGCTGAAGACCTGAGGGGCACAGGGGAAGGATTGCATGGAGGGGATTGTAACCATGGCAATGAGACGATATACGATGGAATGAATGTAAAAGTAATATTCTCCCATGTAAACTAGCACATAATTCACAATAAATCATTTAAAAAAAAAAAATCTTGATGGGAGCAGAAAGCCTCATCTTTCTCCCGTGAAGCGGCTGGTAGTTTCGAACTGCTAACCTTAAGGTTCGCAACCTGATTATGCTAATTAAGATTATATAAGTTAAATTTGTAAATATTAATAAGCTGTTTCTTAAAGAAGAAACATGAATGGACTTATAGTGCACATTTCAAAAATACATTATAAAGTTATAGGAAAAAAAAAAAAAGAACTGCAAAGATGCCACTAAAGGTATAACAAGGATCAAAACAGTAATCTACATGGCCCACAGATCATTGGATTCTCCCACCCATTTCCATGATCAATACCAATTGACATGGTTCAATTGATTCTGTGGCAAGGTGCTTCAATTGTTAAAACTCACCACTTAAGGCTGTACTATGGTTGGCTCAGACTCTTCATGAAAATGTCTTCAGTTCTCACAATGTCTATCATTAGTCAGAGGCTTGGCTAGCTGCATCGGTCAGGAAAGGTCAAACTCTATACTCCCAGTTACCCACAAAATGCGAGATGTGATATGTGGTTAATTCTCCCCTTATTACTATTATGATTATAAAAAATCGTAACAGTTTAAAAATAAACCAATTTCTTTGGCATTATAATTTTTTAAGAGCCTAGGCAATAAAATATAGAACTTTGTGCTCATGATGAAAGATTCTTTGAAAAATCCCAGTTCATATTTTATGATCATATACCATAAGTAACTCAGATGTCAGACCTTTGTTGGTTGATAAAAGTCCCCGTAACACAATTTACATCGTTTTTCATTAAGAATGAATCATATGGCCAATGTCATATGTCAGAGCAATAAGACAGTGAATACGTACCTCAGGTTTCTTCGTTATGGCAATAAAGAACATGTGATTCTTCATTGGGTAAATAATGATTAAAACGTCTCCAAAGGCAGTTGGAATAATACCCCTGCGGTAGTCCCTGGAGTGTTCAGACCAGACGATGTGGACCTCGTCATTCCCCAAGTGACGGAGCTGCAATAGCAAATTGGCTCTTTATTAATCAGAGTGATAACAGCAGTTTATGAGGGTCATGGCTTACAAATTGAATTATAATACTCAGTAGCACAAATATTTCACTATCAAAAAAGGCGACAACACCATTGTCTTCTCCAAGGATTAAAAACAAAACAAAAACGAAAATGCAAAAACATACAGGTAATTTTTTTTCTTTTTTTACATTTTAAAAACAGTGGGAGGTCATCTTTTAAGAAAGATATTGGTACTGAAATATAAACAAGCATCATATGTAGTAACATTATGACAGGATGGGGATAAGGCCTTTCAAGGATTTAAAAAAATACATAACAAAAATGTGGCCATGTTCATCATCTGTAAGTGTCCAATTCAGTGACATTTATTACATGCACATGTTGTGCAACCATCATCACTATCCATTTCTAAGTTTTTTGTTTTGTTTTGTTTTTTTATCACCACAAATAGAAACTTAGGCAATCTTGTAGAGCTATCTGAAGGAACTGAAGGTTACTATTCTGAAAAAGATCAAAATAAAAAAATCAAGTGTAAACCCCCTTTCTGCATAAGTCTCTAGTCTCTTTTCAGACCAGGTTGTTGCTGTTAAGTGTCATTGAATCATTTCTGACTCAGTGACCCTATATAGGGTTTCCAAGGAGTGGCTGGTGAGCTTGAACTGCCAACTTTGAGATTCAAACCAACCTTGGGGTCCAGTGCTTATTCTGCAGTCCCATAGTCACTAATAAACATTTGTCTATAAGAGTTTTTTGTCCTAGATATTTCACATAAACAGAAACATAATATTTGTCCTTCAGTGTCTGTCATATTTCACTCAACATAATGCTTTCAAGGTTCATCAATGCTGCAGCACGTACTGAAACTTTATTTCTCTTTATAGCTGAATAATATTTCAAGAATCTTTTTAAATTGAATTGTATTACTTAATCAAAGTCTTATGTTTTATATTGCTGACCATGTTCCTAAACAGTCAGTGACATGAGTATTTTATTCAGTGGGGCTTCATAAAACTCTTTAATTCAATGGTCAATAAGAAACAAAGAATATAAGGGAAAATAAACCAGTGTAACATAATTGTTACCAAATGTGTAAGAAGCCTGACTTGTAACAAACCTTTAAGAAACCAATAAATACTATTTACATTTGGTAAGAACAATACTACTAGGAATTTAGAATGCCTTACTGAAGGAGCCCTGGTGTGGCACTGTGGGTTAATGCACCAGACTGCAAAGCTGTTTGAACTGCAAAGGTCGGCGGTTCAAGCTCACCAGCTGCTCCTCAGAAACCCTATACAGGGTCGCCATGGGTCGGAATCGACTTGACAGCACTTAACAACAACAACTGTATAGAAAGCATATTCACACATCATTTAATCTTTCCAATAACTCTCAAGGTAAACTATATTACTGATCCTTTACAAGAAGAAACAGGGGCTCAGGAAGGCTTAGGCACCACCCACCCAAAGTGCTTATCTATTGGGCCTAGAGACCTGAACTGAGGCTTCTGGAAATCCAGTGGTATTCCTACTGTCCTACAGCTATCTATCTAAACCTACACCAACAGATACTTGTGTTACCAAAGTAACACAAATAGTTTAGTCCAGTTGTTTGATCATGGTCTACACAAAGAACTGCACAGTGTAAGAACAAATCACAGACTGTGAAAAAGGACCAGAAAGTCTCTCAGGAGGGGACCCTTTGAAAGTTCTTCCAGCGCCAACTTGTAAAAACCCTCTGATAAACAACACAATGACAATCCCATCCCAGCCTAGAGAAAGCTACATATGAAATCATTCCAGTAAACCTGATGTACAAATGAATGAAACCAGATTATAATGATTAAAATGTTGGCTTATGCTGAGGTCCTATAACCATACAGGCTGACTGAGTGAAGGCCCTTTGATGCCTATAGGCAGAAAGGTGCAATCTACTATAATGAAAACGTATTTCTTGCTTCATAGTTTGTCTTAACAGATAAAACACTACAAGTGAATTTTTCCATGAAGTATTTCTGGTTTTTTAACTGAAGAAGGAATTTATTTGCATGTACAGAGAAAGAAATCAGCCATGCAAATTATTTGCCCAATTTGGTAGCCAGTTCTTTGGCCTTTGCCTTTTCCAGCTTGGCAATGCGAGCCACCGATTTGGGGCCCAGGATGTTCCCAGTGAGGTTGTATCTTGTCATATCTGTTGTTGTAATTGGTCCTGAGGGCTTCCACCAGCTTAGCCAGAGCTCCTTTGTCTTCTGAGTTCACATGCTTGAAGGCCACAGTGGTACAGGTCTTCCTGTGGATCAGGCATCCCAGCTGGGCCTTCCCCTTGATGATGCAGTAGGGAACCCCCATTTTACTATACAAGGCTCGCAGGAAGACAACCAACTCAATGGGGTCCACGTCGTGTGCACTCAACACCAGCTGGGCCTTCTTGTTCTCTACCAGAGTGGTGACAGCGTTGACCCCAGAGCGCAGAACAGGGGGCCTCTTGGTGGGACATCCCCTTTGCCAGCAGCCTCTGCTTCATCTCCAGCCAGTACTTGTGGGCCAGCTTCAGCAGCTGAGTCTGGTGGTCCAAGGCCTGGGTGAACTGGTTAATGGCAGGGGTCACTTCCATACACTTGTAGAGGATAGCCCGTTACCACAACAGCAGGATGTAGCGGGGCCATTTGACAAAGTGGGTGCGGTCCCTTTTGGGTTGGATGTCCTAACTGATGCTGAAGTTCTTGGGCCTTTTCTCAAATGGGATTGACTACATTCTTGGCCTCCTGCTTCTCGAGGACAGCAGGTGCCGGCACCACCTTCTTCCCCTTGGCCTTCTTTTCCTTCGGAAGATGGATCAGAGGCTTCCATGAACTTTTGTACATCTCCTCATACAAAGGTAAAAAGCAACCCTTACACAAACAAATAGTTAAAAACAAACAAACCAAAAAAATGGGTTTTTAATCATAATACTGAAATCTCTCTCTATATCTTTTGCGGTCTTAGATACTAGGGTTTTTCTTTCTTTTCCTTTTATTTTTCCATCATGTAGAAACTTTGCAACATATTCCTGAGATTTAGTCCTTTTGGAGTGACAACATGTTAGTCAGATTGTCAACAACACAAAAAAGCTATGATTTCAAGGGAAACTTTGTTGTTAGGTGCCATTGAGTAGGTTTGAACTCATTATCTAGAATTTGTCAAGACCCTATTCACAACAGAATGAAACACTGCTGGGCATGTGCAACCTCACACTTGTTGTGATGGTTGAATCCAATGCTGTTGCCATTGTGCCAATCCATCACGGTGGGCATCTTCCTCCTTTCCCCTGAACCACTGTATTCTCAAACACAATGTCCTTCTCCAGGGCATGGTCCCTCCTGATTACATGTCCGAAGTATGAGAGACGTCTTAACATCCTGGCTTCCAAGGAGCACTCTGGTTGTATTTCTTCCAACACAGATTTGTTTGTTCTTCTGGCAGTCCAAGGTATCTGCAATGTTATTTTCTAATACCACAACTCAAATGCACCAATTCCTCTAAGGTCTACTTTATTCATTGTTCAGCTTTCACATGGAAATGAGGCTATTGAAAATACCATGGCTTCAGTTGTCAAATTGATTATCTTTGCACTTTAACATTTTAAAGAGGTCTTTTGCAGCAGATTGGCCAATGCAATACAAACTTGGATTTCTTGACTGCTGTTTCTATGAGTGTTGATTGTGGGTCAAAGCAAAATAAAGTCTTTGACAACTTCAATCTTTTCTCCATTTATCATGATACTATTTATTGGTCCAGCTGTAAGGAACCTTGTTTTCTTTACATTAGTTGCAATCTATACTCAATGCTGTAGTCTTTGATATTCAGTACATACTTTAAGTCTTCTTCACTTCCAGCAAGCAAGTATCATCTGCATATTACAGGCTGTTAATAAGTCTTCTTCCAATTCTGATGCCATGTGCTTCTTCATATAATCCATCTTCTGAAATTACTTGCTTAGCATACAGACAGAATAAGTATGATGAAAGGATACAGCCCTGGCAAACACTTTTTCTGATTTTAAATCAATCTGTATCCTCTTGCTCTGTATCAACAACTGCCTGTGCACATATTCCTGATGAGCACAATAAAGTGTTCTGGAATACCCGTTCTTCATAATATTATCTTTAGCTTGTCAGAATCCATACAGTCAAAAGCCTTTGCATAATTAGTAAAGTACAAGAAATCATCTTTCTGGTATGCTTTGTTTTCAGCCAAGATCCACCAGATCCTCTTCTGAATCAAGTTAAATTTCTGGCAGTTTCCTGTGGATGTACTGTTGCAACTGATTTTAAAGTATCTTCAACAAAATTTTATTTGATTGTGATATGAATGATACTGGTTTCCATATTCCAATGGGTCACCTCTCTTTGGAATGGGCATAAACATGTATCTCTTTCAATCAGTTTGCCAGGCAGCTGTCTTCCAAATTTCTTGGCCTAGATGAGTGAGCACCTACAGTACTACATTTGTTTGGTGAAACATTTCAAATGGAGCCTTGTTTTTTGCCAACATGCCTTCACAGCAGCTTGGACTTGTTCCTTCAGTACTATCATGAAATGGCTGAACACCAACCATTTCTTTTGGGTACAGTAATTCTGTGTTTTCTTTCCATCATCTTTTGATGCTTTCTTCATCATTCAGAATTTTGCCCATAGAAAAGAGTTCTGCAGTTTTTTTCAGCTTGAGAATGCTCTTCTTCCCTTTTGGTTTTCTAACTCCCGGTCTTTGCACATTTCATTATAATATTTGACTTTATCTTCTCTAGCTGCCCTTTGAAAAGTTTTGTTCATCTCTTTGACTTCTTCAGTCCTTCCATTCACTGTAGCTTCTCTTCGCTTAAGAGTAAGTTTCAGAGTTTCTTCTGACATCCATTTTGACCTTTTCTTTCTTCCTTGTCCTTTTAATGTCCTTTCTCCCAATGTGATATTCTTGATGTCATACAACTGTTCTAGTCATCAGTTATTAG